GGGGTACATGAGGCTCACTTCCGCTTCCCACTCCAGCATGTTGGAGCCCCCTCAGGATTCCTTCCCTCCACTTACCATCCCCCTATCAAATCCAATTCCAAGAGCAGGTCTGTGCCCGCAGGCTCCCTTCCCTCGCCAGGTCCTCCTTTGCTCCCCAGAGAACTACCCCAGGCATTTGTCTACTGGTGCCCACCAGGCATCCTCCGGCCTGAGCTAGAAGAGGCACACCCACCCCGGAGAAAGGCCCACCTCCTGGCTGGTTGCCCTGGGGCCGGCCTCTGTAGAACCAGGACACAAACCGAGAGGTTTGCAGAAGCCCTGGTGTGCTGCAGAGGTCAGGGGTCAGAAGCTGAAGTGACTTATTCACTTCTGGCTTGTTCTCAATGGGCCACAGGTGCTGCCCCCTCAGCCATCCGGGTCCTCTTGTCTTTGGTTGGAAACACTCTTTCTCACCGCTTTGTATGAGAGGGTACCACTCTGAGCCGTCCTTGGCCCCCAGCCTCTATGCCCTGTTTCTCCCCCTGAAGCTGGGGCACAGACCCCAGGCTGGCTGGAACTGCGTAGGGAAACCGTGCACCGGGGTCTGTGCCGAGACCTCCCCACGCTGCTGCCTTGGAAGGCCCCACCCTGAGACTGTTCACCCTATAAAGGATGCCACCGGCCAGGCTCTAGTTCATCCTCTCTGTCCACAGAACATCCTGACTGCCATCTTGCTGCTGCTGCGGGAGCTGGACACGGAGGGGCTCGAGGCTGTCCAGCAGACTGTGGGCAGCCGGCTACAGGCGCTGCACAGGCTGGAGCCCCAGGAGGACATGGAGTGACTTCCTGTGCCCCAGTATCTGGACCCTGTTATATCCTGTGGAAACACCGCTCCACCTGGAAAGCCTCCCTCTGGGTTCCCGACACCAGCCCAGTGCAGGAGCAGTGGCCGCCAGCTGGGCAGACCCCTCTCCTGTGCCTAGGGCTGGCAGAGCTGCTGCCCACCAGCATGGTCCCTGAGACTTACCAGCTGAGGCCTGGAGGATCTGGGCACTACCTGACCCTTCCTCAAGGGAAGACTGTACGAGCCATACCCTCCAATAAAGCACTTTGTTTGGGCTGGAAGCCAGCATCTCTGACAGGCAGGGCCTTGACCACAAGGTCCATGCTGTTTCTCAGCCGCTAGGGGGAGCCCTGGTGTCTCTGTCAGGCCTACTCGTCAGAGGTGCCTGGAATGAAGTCTTACAAGGCACCAAGTCCCAGGTGTCTTTAGGCACCATAGCCTAGGAGAATGGATTTCTCTCAGGACAAGGATGGGCAAGACACTGTCTTTTTTATTTCTTCTTTAGGAGAAGGATGGCACCTAGTTGGAGTAACTGTTGGGGACATCCAGAGTTGCTCATTATTCTGAGGTGTCAGATGCCATCAATAAAGCTGTTTTAAGCCGGGTGGTAGTGGCGCACGCCTTTAATCCCAGCACTCAGGAGGCAGGGCCAGGCGGATCTCTGTGAGTTCGAGGCCAGCCTGGTCTACAGAGCGAGATCCAGGAAAGGCGCCAAAGCTACACAGAGAAACCCTGTCTCAAAAAATAAAAAAAAATAAAGCTGTCTTGTTAGAACAGTTGGGATAGGGTTTATAATTTACCCACCAGGCAGGGGTGCCTTAGGGTAGGCTTATACCTGCCATGAGAAAATAGAGCCAAGAAAGGCATCAAGATTAGCATGTGTAAAACAATGAGCCAAAGTCTGGAACCACCACCACCATGGGACAAATAGACATGGCCCAAGAAGCCTGCATGCAATAGCTAGCCCTGTAGGTAACCTGTATGGGTCTTAATGCTGAGGATTCAGGGCCACTGGGCCCCTGGCCTTGCTCCACCTCTGGTCCACTTCCAATCTTGGGAGTACTTTCTCTCTTAATAAACTGTTTCTATCAGTACCTGTGTCCCTGGTCCAATTCCTTGTTCCAGGACATAAGAATCTGGAAATGCTAGCAGGTGTCCTCTGGACCACACCCCATGCCTGTGACATCCTGGCTTTCCTTCCTCCTGTGGCATGGTCACGCATACCTCAGGGATGGACAAACTGTACCAGTTGTGATAAGACCACAATCCCTAAACCCCACCTCTGCCCAGACTGGGGACACACTACAGCACGGCCTGTAGCCCTACCTGGAGCTGAGCAAGGGGACCTTGAACCCCTGCTCTGAGTCTTCCGGATGTAACCCCTTGAGCAAGACAGGAATTGGCATGGTGATGGGGCACCCTCCCATCCAACTCACAGCAGGGAGAGCTGGGGCCAGAGGTGCCGCCCCCCCCAGAAGGGTGGATGCAGTACAAGAAAGAGCACTCAGAAAAGAGGTGGCCGCTCTGTATCCTGGGTGTCACCTAAAGCCATTGCTGTCACCAGACCCAAAGTTGCCACGTAGCTGAACAGATAAACATCGAATCTAGCAGGAGTTCCATACTGAGAGAGAGCTGAGTCCCATCTGATGGAACCAGGGCACACGACAATGACCTGCCCCTACCTGGCAGTGGCCAGAATGAGCCACACAGGTCCTGGGTCTGGATCTCCCACCCTTGATGCCTCTCTGTTGCAGAGGCCCCCTGTGTGGCAGATGCCCAGACTGAGCAAGGACCTAGTGGGTGCTGCTCTGACCTTCGGGTGTCCAACTACAGCCTGCTGTAGTCCCCAGACCCTGAGCTGCTTTGGATGGAGAACACACTGAACAGCTGTGGATATTCGTGGTGACTCTGGAACCGGCACATGCGTCCCCAGCCTGACCCGGGACATCTGAGCCTGTCAGGTGAGGAGCTGG